GTCGTGGTCCACTGTCCATTGTACATGTCGAAAAAAGATCTAGGGGGAATTTTCCCGGTACAATGCACCCGTGAATACTGTACAAACCGTAAGACTTCGCTGTCATGACCAGTGGAAGAGTAGCTGACCGGTCGATTAAGTTCATTTGGGCTCAAGTGAGATGACTTGTACATCCCTGCAATAGAAGGACTGTTTTGAGAGAACCCCCCAAAATGAAAACAGGTGAATGCCTTGCAAATGCTGAGCTACGGTCTGCGAAGAAATAACATGAATCACCAGGCGATTAGCACTAAGCAAATGACAGAAGATCATTACAGTCATGAGTAGTTCATGAAGTCATCTTGTTACTTACATATTGTGATGAATTATTCAAATTGGATGCAATTCAAGGATGACGCCTACGTTTCTAGGCGTCTATTTCACATTGTGAAATCATTTCTGAATGAGACAGCTGTTTAATTTTGAGATTCCACCGTGCTCTCTTCATGCCTGAGTGTTTTAACTACAGTACTAGGAAAACCTTTGTCGGAACATGAAAACTCCGTTCTGGTAGGTTTTTTTTTTTGCCGAAGAAAGGTCTTCAACCTGGACCATCTGTGAACGTAGACGTATCGCCATTGTTGTTCTGAAAAGTACATTTTAACCTGCAATTGCATTTCCCACTCGCTGTTATTTATAAAAGTCCCGCACTTCAACTTGAAAACGAGCAAGTTTATAACATCAGAGTTTCCATCCGTCTTAATTACAGGTATTGTTCCAATGATACGTACATGATGAGAAAAGTCTGGAAGACCTACCGTTCTGCTGTGTTGTGTGGCGCGAGACTCCGCACCGCCGTGCCTGAGGACCGGGATGTGATCAAATGGATCCCAGCGAGTGTCGTCTTGACGTGCGCACAGCTGTCACTATGGCTACTAATTGCGCTCAACATTTGCGGCGACTTTATGTACTAAAGGACGAAGGCTACGTAAGCCGGAACTCTCTGAATCTTCCCGTAACCCCGAGGCAGTTAGTAGATACTGAGCTGAGAAACGCGCCGCGTGTTTTGGACGCACTCGAGCTCATAGACGGGATTTTCTTTCATCTTGGTACAAAACGAATATTGCTGAAGGCCAGTTTCTTACACACCTTTGCCATTAGTGGCTTCGTCCGAAGAGATTTTATCAGATCGCTATAAAGGAATCTAATAGATAAAGACATATTTTGTAATTTTTTTTAAAAATCATACATACGTTTACCTTTTGTATCGTATTGCAATTATGAAATCAAGGGTCCCACAAATTAAATTTCGCTCGCTGTGCGGTCTAGTGGTTTTTCGTCTTTTTACAATGCAGTATTTAGGCGTTAAATATGGGGGCGTCGGAGATATGATTTGAAAGGCTTCGGGTAAATTTGGCATGATTCAAAGACGCCATTATGCTCATTACCTCCATGAAAAATGGAGGTATTGTTTTTGGCGGCGTGTGTCTGTCTGTGTGTCTGTGTGTGTGTCTGTGTGTCTGTGTGTGTTTCCGCAACTTTGTAGTCAGCATAACTTCATAACGCCTTTATGGATTGTGATGATATTTGGTATGCTGATAAGTCTTAGGAATACAAAGGCCAAGGTCAAATATGGGCCTCCTGGTGGATGACCTTGGTACTGCAGCAGAACTTCCGGTTTTTGTATCTTTAGTCCTGAACATGCTATGGTCTTGAATTTTTGGTGACAGATAGCTTTTCCTGTCAGGAATAAGTGGTGTGGGTTTGGTCCCCCTAGCAGCTTGTTCAGGAACTGCAGGGGACTTTCTGGCAAAATCTTTGAAAGCCAATAAGTCCAGATAGGAACAGCGTATTTTCATCATTTTTGGTGTGTAGGTATCTGACAGAGAGATGTACATAATTAACTGCAAATTATGCAAATGAGGACTTTATTTGCATAATTAATGAGGAAATTCTATAATTACAGTGTTTTACATTATAGAACTTTCATACATGTAATGTATGTAACCTATGTGATGACCTAATTTGCATAATTAATGCAAAAAATTTCTCAATGGTGAATGATGGGAATGTCATACTTGGGACATCTTTAAGTTAATCAAAAGTTAACATCACGATGCATATATTATGTTAATGCAGAGGTCATTTGCGTAATCAAAGAAGAAATTTACATTTACATATCAAACCTATATTTCATGGAGGTATGAGATCTCGGAACTCTTGTTTTTAGTTGGATTTAGGTTTAAAACCATGAATTTCTAATGGCGTGCACCGCACTTTTTCCATAAAGGTCACAAGTTTTAGGTCTTTTTTGGCGACGCCTAAGTGGCGAGCCTGATATCATACTATGCAACTTATTTGGAAAATTATACAGATTCCTCAGGACTTTGTACGTATACTGTGTTAATCTTAAGCATTGTAATGGAAATTAATGACTCCTTAGAGCAAGAACTGGCTAACAGGCGCATGATGACTTCAACATACTTACTTATACATGTATAAACGTTTGTTTGTCTCCTTCTTGTTTTCTTCATCCTTAATTTACTGATCAAGAAAAGTTTTAATCAAAACAATCGCTAAGCCGTTTTAATTAAGCCTTGCAGGTTTATACCTCGAGTAGGTATGTCTAATAGCATGTAAAGGTACACGCGCATAAAATGTTGTCCTTTTCACATCCAGATATTCCACTAATAAAGCGATGTGAGACGTCGTAATTACAATCGTGGCCAAGCATAACAGACGCAATGTCAGAAAATGTCAGCCTTTGATATCCATGCAGAACTTACATAACGCACAAAACGACAGAAGCTAGTATTTCACAGTCCCGCCTTATACAGCTTGTCCTTACTACTGTACAAAACTGCTGTACATGTGTTATTTCTAAAGGCGGTCTACGGGCTTTGAGAAACAAACAACAAACGGGCGGAAAATTTAAACATGTTTTCGCTTTAGGCATATAAACCTCACATTACTGCAAGTATGAGTTTGGTTATTCTGCGTGAATGGTATGAGCTTTCTATTACCATCAGACATACGCTACACGTGTTATCTGTATAGCTTTTATAAGAAACCTCTATTGAAATTGAATTTTTTTCTTGCACAAGCTAGAAGTAATAAAGTTACTTTGATGTACGCGACTTGGAAACATGACGAAAAAAATTTATAAGAAAAGCCTAAAGAAATAGATGGAAACAGCATCGGAAATGAGCCCGAGGCGCCCAGCGGTGAAGGTCACATGATGCGTCTTTCGCAGCCTGTTTAATCTGAATTCAGCTGTGAAAAGGATCTTTAATAAAGGATTTCATACTATCATCATAGTTTGTTTGAATCCCTAGCAGGTCTCTAAAATTTGCACCTAGGAAATGCAAATTGTGTGATTTATCTGATAGAGTTACTGTATATCTGTTACTTATAGGATCACAACTATTGTAATCTGAAATCAATACTCAGATTGTTGCTATCATACAGTTATACTTATCTGAAACTGAAGGATTTCTCTTCTGTATACAGATAATATCAACTTATTTGTCTAATACTGTTCCTGCATGTCGGATGGTATGGCATCAAGCCATCTGAGTTTGAGGCAGCTGCCGCTGTTCGGCCAGCCTGGAGGGCTATCGTAACAAAAGACACATCTACGTTCGAGGAGGAAAGGAGGAGACGTCTCGAAGCTGCGAGTAAAAAGCGGCATAGAACAGTACTATTTTATCTAAAATGAGCGCAGTATATGTTGTAAAGGGGAAAAGGTGATATAGGCCATTGAAAAAAGAATTGCTTATAGAGGCAAGTGTTCCAGTACATGAGACATAAAACATAATGTGTGTGAAGCGATGTATTTATGCAACTTACTGATCTACGTCAACGTCAGGTACTGTGATATCAAGTGTGGGAAACAGAAATATATAAAAGACTGTGAAGTCAATTTAGGTATCGGCGGAGCAGAAAAGCAAATGTTATAATGGTTTTATTGATGCAACCGTTGTAATAATTGATTACCTCTTTGGCACAACAATCCAACACAGTTTACGTTATGACCAGGACTGCCACAGCAAGAGCGCCATCTAGCGTCAACGGGATATACTACACAGATTCCAGCTTGCCATATCTTCAGAGGTTACATGTACATATACAGTTTTGTACGGCAAATATAACCATTATGGCAGAGGGTTTCATTACAAAATCCAACTTTCACAACGTCTTTCAACCTCAACTTTAAAACCCACATCATTACCATACACCAGTATGTGTGACATTCTACATACCTACATGACCGAACGAAATGTGAACGTGTACCACTGACTTGAATCACATGTCCGACTGTATGTGCACACAGTAAGGCCGTGGGCACATCCGCCTTAGGTCGTCGAATGATTTTGATTTGATAATACTTTCAATCAGAGTATGACAGAACTAGCTGCCGATAAGATCTAATACGAAACTGTCTTTTCGATAACGAGACAGCTGAATTTAATACGGCCACAACACTATCCCAAGCTAAGAATGCGATTGTACGACGATTGTACGACGAACACCAACGCGCCCTCAAACTGGCCAAACAGGATAATGCGTACAACATAAATGTAATGTGTGTGTATACAATCTGTAGTGTGATATATTATTACACCGGCAAATCACAAGTCTATCACAACTCACCCACTCTGTTGGAGGGCTGTACAATGACTGGTAGGGATTTTATACAATTGCAACCTGCTGCATGTCTAACATTAATGTGCTAAACATGGTATCAGTTTGTTTTGGTACCTGTCTAGAGGAAAAAAAGTTCAACACTTTGTCGGCCTGATGTTCTTCCCTCACAGTTCGTCTGGATACATATACGTCGTGGGCACTATTGAATTTCGTTTCCGCTCAAGTTTGTCCTCGAGACTTGAATTGTTTTCCATCAAGTAAACGCCACCTACCGTGTCTGCAGGAGAACTGAAATCTCCTGGTCCTGACAGTCTGAACAGTTTGTGCATGGATAAGGTACTACTAGTATCTTGTGACAGAGTTAAGTGGCCGAGGGTACTTGAGGCTGAATCCATATAACATCCTCTAGGTTGGTCTCTCTCATCCATCAGTTTCCCACTTGTATTTTCGGTACTGGTACCGCCTTCTTCACGACTCAGTTAAACGCAGAAGTACAGGTACCGGTACCCCTTCTTTAGCCCTCAATTTTGCGTGGTAGTACCGGTACCGCCTTCGTTAGGCCTGAGTTTTGCGTGGTAGAACCGGTACCGCATTCTATAGGGCTGAGTTCGGCGTGGCAGAACCGGTACCGCCTTCTTTAGCCCTCAATTGTACATGGTAGTACCGGTGCCCCCTTCTTTAGGCCTGAGTTTTGCGTGGTAGAACCGGTACCGTCTTCTTTAGGCCTCAGTTGTACGTTGTAGTGCCTGTTCCGGTACCGCCTTCTTTACTCGCCCGTGACACTTTCCTCATGGACTTCCGTCTGTGCCGCCGCATGGCGCTGGTGAACACGACCGGGTCGTCTCCGTCCAGATGCAGCACGACGACAGTCCCCGAGAACTTCCGGGTGATCTTCTTCCGAATGGTGCCTGTGGTGATGGCGTAGGCCTCCATGCGGAAGGTATCGTTGAGCAGGAGATAGATGACGGGGTTGTAGACGCCGGCTGTCCGCACGAACAGAGCCGGCACTGCGGTGAACAGGGGAGACGACCTCCCGGGCTCGGCAAAGCAGCACCACAGCGCGAGGATGGCGTATGGTGTCCACGCCATTAAGAACCCCAGCCCAACCATAATGGCAGTCTGAAAAAATAAACAGAATGTGGTTGTGAGCTGGTCACATTCGTTGAACAATCGCGATCCTTCGTATGATCGCAAACTAAAGGCATTCTTGGCATAATCGAGCATGTGTCATACGACATTCAGCTGCCTTGTCAAAAAAGGCTGTCTTAGATCCTTGCGACAGTTTGAAATTCCTACGACATCAAAATCACACGACGACCAACGGCACATTTAATTGGTCGTAACCACGTATGTAACCACGCCGTAAGTACGTACGCTATGGTTACTATGATGCTAGAAAACAAAATCTCTGCACTGTAAAATCAGCTGATAGATTTGTTAAGGGACTTCTTTATCGGTAAAAATCAACAGAGAATTTTGTCCCGACCGGTCGCTACCGTGGTTCGTTCGAGTTGGCCAGGAAATTCTGAAAGACGCGGCAAATTTAGGAGCACTGCGATCTGCACTGCGATTGGTTAGGGCGGATCAAGATTACACTGTTATTGGCTGAGACAGGTCGTGCCCCGCCCATGTTCACCACGTGATAGAAGTCCACTTGTACATCACTGTTGCGCAACATCAATTCATGACCCCATAGGTATCTACATAAAAGCCATAAAGTAGCTTACCTTGGTAAGTTTTCGCTCAAGCTGTGCCTTTCTGGCGACCCGTCGGCCGCGGCCGAAGGTTCGGCGATGCGAGCCTCGAACCTTCTCGATAATCTTGATGTAGGAGAAAGCTATGGCCGCCACCGGAGCAACGATAAACATCAGCACCAGGAAGAAGACGTACGACTGGTTGGCGGCAGAGGACGACACCTGGTCCACGTCTAGCCCGCAGGAGATGTGTGACGGCTCGGTGGAGTACGCGCCCCAGCCGTAGAACGGCGCTGTTGACCAGAACAAGGCTGTGGTCCACACCGCCGCCAGCGTGCGCCGGACATTGGTGAAGTTCACTTCATCACCTAGGACAAGAATTCACCCCTTTATGCAAAGTCCATCACTTAGTACCTTCTTTGGAATAATGATTGGATTGTGTGTTTAAAATACATTTTGAAAAAGAAATTGTGGATTTAAGACTTCCAGGAAGTATACGTATGTCGGGTTTTCGTGATCTTCAAGTTTACACACGTCCAGGAGTGTATGGGTGTTCGTGGATGTATTGGAACTTGGAGGGAAGTGTATGATGTAATTCAATTTTGTATACACCACTTTCTAACTTCCTCCACAAACCTTAAGTAAGACTGACAGCACGGTCACCGTCAGGTCCGACCCTCCTATCAATCAACTGTCAATAATCACCTCCCACCCACCATGCAACCCAGGCTATTATGACTAGTAGAGACGAAAACGTTACCCACAACTCAGCCATGCAAAACAAAATACCCATCTAATGTTATATGTGTTGCACTTTAATCTGTTATTCAAAATTTAATGTTGCGTTTCACAACGTTCACGCTTCAGTTGGTGTGAATAATTTGTGCTACATGCGTGTAATGACTACACACTGCTAGCTACAATCACAGCTGAAATGCAGATTTCAGACTTCCGGATATTATTCTAATTTGGGGTTTTCGTAAGCATCAAAATTTTCAGACGTTCATGAAGTGTTTTGGGTTCTTGTGCGGATATATTGGAATTGTATGATGATGATGTAATTCAACCGGGTCTACACATCTAGCTACAATCATGCTGATCAGACACTTGGATGGTGGTTGGTGAAGAGAGTCACGTACTGAACTTGGTGTGGCAGACTTTGATGTACCGCGCCAGCGCGTGTGCGATGATCGTTAAGATGTTAGTCGTGCCGAGGTGTGTTCTTAGGAAGGCGTAACCCTGGCAACCGGCATTACCCAGCATCCACCCGTGGTTGAAACTCGCTGCGATCTGCGGAAAGAGAAGGCTATTACCAGGTCATGGAGGTCAAATAGAGACATTCGTGAGCCACGGCGATATTGATGTTGCGTAACGCTAGTCTGGATGCTGGCCTTTTTTTTTAGCTTTAGGCCATGTTGATTTGATTATATGGATGACATCCTCTGGGAACCCCAAAACTGATGCGAGCGCGCGAATAAAAAAAAAGTTTTGCAAAAAAAAAAAGTTGCTTTCATGAAACCTACATTGTTATGAAGGTCGAACAAATGACACAGAGTATGGTATGGCGAATAATCTACTCTTTAAATTCATTTCTTTGCATTTTAGTTTTTTGTTTGATTTTGGCATTCTACGACGTTGGAATCGTTTTCAAATATTTTTTTTGCAACTTTCGGTATATATTTGCTCATTTTGCAACTGTTTTGTACAATTTACAGTGTGGTTGGAAACTTTTTTTTTTTGGAAACGGTCGAAAATTCATGCGCGCGCGGATGTCATCCATATAATCAAATCAACATGGCCTTAGCACGCTCTCTTCGTTGCTTCCTTGCAGAAAAAGTCTGGGCCTGCACATATTCTATCCGTCTGTCATTTGAAATTCTGTTGAGGATTTCAACATAGTACAGTCACGCTGATTGGCCAAATTTAAGCGTTGCTATCATCAGGGCTCATCCAATCAGCAGAGGGCATCAGCTCATTACGTCACGAAGCGAGGGCACTGAAGCTAAAAATGCTGGCATCCGGGCTAGCACAACGCGCCTTGTTGATACCTTGGGCACGTCGACTGTCTGGGAAGTTAGATGATGAATCACAAGAATGATGTACCATGTACATGTTACAGCTATATGTGCGCAGATGGCTGCCTAAGAAAATCTTTGTACGCGTTGATGATCACGAGTGTCTACCTCCGTACACTACAAAACCCACTCCTAGTAAGCCTACCTTCGGGTGATGATGTTTTCGCTCCAGCTAGCGGAAAACCCAGTCTTACTTTCAGGCGCCGGGGATATGTGAACGTCTACCAAGTACGTTCAAGACAATTCACCATCTATCAGATTATGGTGTTACAGAAGAGATAAGATGTGCATTTTACAGAAGACTTCTTCAACTCAACCGAAACATTTCAAGAATCCAGGATCTGGTTCCACCATTTTCAAAATACATATACCCTTCAACAAGGTCAGACAATCCAGAGAAGCTAAGTCTGCGGCTGTATGTTAGGCATGCAGGTGTTTCAAGGACGGTGGGTGACTTTTCCCGAGTTAGATTGACAGTGGCATATTGGTACTCCATGGTAAATTTACCTCAAGCCAAGCAATCAAAACAAGAAATATTAATTGTTATATATATTAATTGTTATATATATTAATATAAATATTAATTAGTTGTAATGAATTTCTTGTTTCATTTATTACTGTGAAGATCTCACCGAGCCTGTTGCAATATTTATTATTGTTGAATATAAGAATTAAGAATTATATTTCTTTCAAAAGATATGTTGGCAATTATAGGGACGTCGTTGTGCCAGGACCGTTTACGTGCCTGCATCCCCACCGTTGTGTGAGTAATGTCCAAATTAGGGGATCTCAATTTAGAGATGAAATACACCACATAGAACAACAGCTCTTTACAGCTTCGTCGTAAACTAGCATCTGCCATTACACTATTGTTCGGTTTCATAGATCCTGTAAGGTGTATTTGTTTGTCTGCAGTACGGTTGAGGTCGCATCCGAATCCCAAAGCTTTGTCACACAAAATACCAGCGTTTTATTAGATTCTATACTTCACTGATTTCTATCGAATGTATCTTGGTAAATCAGAGAAACTATATTACATAATACAAAATAAATATAATCAAGCAGATGGGTAAATTATCTTAAGAGTTGGCGGTTTTAGAAAGCATCTAATATGATATTACATCAGTGACTAAGTATCGGTACTAAAAGGTATCGGATGTCATATGATGCCAGTTGTCATAGTTCTTTTGTATTAGGCAATGTTCCCCTGGGATGTATAACCTTTATCAAGGAAACTACAAGATATTAGAAGTTTGTTTGCTCACAAATTCCTAAAGCCTTCACATATAGAGGCGTCATTTCATCCTTTCACTCACACATCACACGTGCGGTTTACACTGAAGACTAAAATCCTCACTGTGACACTAGGTTTTACTGCAATAAGGTTCACGTCAAATTTGATTTTCATTTCAACAGAGTTTATGGGCCAGACTGGTGTTAGAAGTCCATCGCATGTAGTAAAATGTAAAGACTTGCTAATACAGTAATTCTCTTTAAACTAAAATGAATATGCCAGGATTACCCAACAATTGCCAGCTAACCGAACTGTACACACTCGTCCTGACACATATCGACCCAAGTCTTTCCGTTTGTCAGGATCGTTTAGTCTAAGAGATCGTCTAGCACGATGGCGTTGATGGAAATTCTATCGATTATCTCGCTTGCTGCACGTCTGCTGAGCCAGAAATTATTTGATGAAAGGTTTTGTGGTGACTTAACACTATACTGTGACTGGCCAGAAATTATGTGTTGAAAGAGTTTGTGGTAATAATATAACTAAAAACTTCGCTGTGACTAGGATATGCGGTCTAATAGCATGTGTTTCACACCCTATCGCGGTCAGAGGCTGATTGGGCCTCCCGGATAGCATGTGGCGATTCACCTTCGGTGTAAGTAGCAATTTCTCGCGTTCCTCGCAAAATGAGGACCAAAGACATAGATTTGCAATGCGAGGCACGTAACAAGAGCCAGTACAAAAGATTACAACTACAACATCAGACAGCACCATCAGCGACAGCATCACTGGCAACAAAGCAAAACATCATCAGCCAAAACCACAACGTACATGTAACACCATCAGCTACATCACTGACAACAAGGCAGAACTTTATCAGGCAACGCCACAAGTCAGCGTACATGTAAGACCTTTAGCTACAGCATTACTGACAACCAGACAGGAGCTTACACCACCAACAACAACGACAAAATCACTGGCAACAAGCTTAGGCAGAACTTCATCAGCCAATATTACAGCGAACATGTACGAGTAACACCATCAGCAACAACATCACTGACAACAAGGCAGAACAGCATTCGGCAGCCAACACCACAATGTAACGTTACAGCGTACATACAAAGCCATCATCTACAACATCACTGGCAACAAGGCAGGACTTTACACCACCACGAACAACAACGAAACTGACTCGTCACCTGAAAAGAGTTGCAACACAGGGCTATCAACAGGTCCACCACGGCCAGATTAACGGCAAAGAGCTCCGGAGCCTTCATGGACCGCCGCCTCTTGAACCACACCACCAACACAAAGGAGTTGCCCACGATTGCCAGCAACCCTGCAGGTACAACATGTTATAGGATGCCGCAGAATAGAATATTCTATACAATTGATAAACAGCGTGTTCTTTTCAAACTTTTAAACCTAACAGTGTATTGTGTATCTACTTAAAGAAACCTAGATATTGCAAGAAAATGAAACAACAATGAATAAAACAAGAAAGTATCATGAAAGTTTACCTGTGTTGCTAGATACATGATTAAAACTTTTGTTCTAACACAATAGGGTATGTTCCCAGCTAGAGCTTTCGACCAGTCACTCTGGTCTTCCTCAGTAGACTGGCCTAGTGAGGCTTGGTTTGACCAAGTGTTGACGTCACACTTCAAAGAAACCACGTGTCAAGTCTTACTGGGTCAGTCTACCAAAGAAGGCCAGAGTGACTGGTCGAAAGCTCTAGGCGAGAATACTTCCCTTTGTATTGGAACAAACGTTTTACCTTAAATACCAAATTCACAACAACAATACTTCACGTGAAAACTTTCATTTCTTATTGCTCTTTCATGTACGGAAAAGGCTCCCTGCCAGAATTTTCATCGCTTATGTATGACACTCCCCTCCTGTTACCTGATGTAACCTTTCCTTGGGTTGTCAGGTCGTCCCTGCTTTGTCCCATCTGTCGTGCATGACAGAGATTCTCCTCGGACCAAAGGACTACAGGTTATGTTAGACAGAGTTTCATTGGGACTTACGTTTCAGTAATGATACATTACAAAGATTTACAGGCATTTTGGACTATTGAGTGCACCTGACAGCCAGGCTGTTACAGCATTCCCAACCAGACTACATGCATTTATCATGTCTTATTTAGAGTGGTTCTATTAAAAGCGAACTCAAAGCACACAACGAGCCATGCCAGGCTTCGCCTTTCATGCCGGTACTCAGGATTTATAACTGGTACGTTGTAGGTAAGAAAGGGCGTTTTAAAGTCTTTTCAAGCATTGTTGAGCACACTGAAGACATACATTCGGTTATCAATGTCAGAGCTCGCAATGATGTTACACAGGGTTTACAGAGATTGCGATACGTGCTCATACTGAACTTGTATATGTATTCTTCATCCACCTTCAGAACCAGAGCAGCCACATTCGTCGTACGATTTTGTTGTCCTTGAATTTTTGAGCTGTGACAGACATAACTGGCGACAAACATCTTAGACAGCCCATTTCGAAGAATTACTAAATTTTGTGCGACATATGCACAACAATATCGCGCGAATGCCCAGAGTTTGCGGTCGTACGATGGTCGTGCGACAAATGTGGTCGGGTCCTAAGAGTCGTGCAACGAGCGCTTAAAAATAAATCTAAGGTGGTTGGCAAAGCTTTTACTGTAAAGGGTAAATTTAGGAGACTCGACAACGCTTAACGGTAAAATTGTCAACCATATTCCTTTACGGAGTAAAATAGTAAGTATATATAAAAGTAATAAGACGTTCCCTTGTGACATTTGGGCAATCCTGCTTTGCCCCTTTGACGCTTAACTACGAATCCAAGATGACAGATAACGTGCTACGTAGAACTCAAGCGACCAATTACGCTTCACGAATAATTTACCGACAACTCTTCAAGTTAAACTACAGTGGGTACGATTAACGGTACCGGTGAATTAAGAGTTTGCTACGCTTCAGGGAAAAAAGGGCATGAAGGCTCCATTTAACGGCTGAAAGGGTATCCAGCCTGGTATTCAAACAGTGTCAGAACGTGACAAAACGCGCGTCATGCCGAGGTACATGATTGATTTTCATTTAGCCAGAAGGGACTCACATAACAGCACCCGGAGACATCTTCCTGTGGCGCTAAAACGCCCGTGGAAAATGTGTCTGGATAAATGTACCTCCAAAACGAGAATGCCTTGTCATCTGTGGCCACCTCTAACCTTGTAGCTGCATCTCTGTTGAAAGTGGGTCGGTGGTCTTTAGAATTGCAAAAAAAGATCGCTCATTCAGGGGTTACAAAACGGGCCCTGAGCAAAAAGAATTTTTCACAGTGTTGGGTACTATCGCACTCTTGGCTCGCTGCAGCTGCGAAAAGCTCTCACCTATTGCACAGTTGATTAACGACATCGCCATGTAGGCATAAAGGATTTGGGAGTATAGATGCGTGTACTAAAAGAGGCGCCGTTTTGCTATAAGAGATATCCTTGACAGGATGTGCAGAGAATTCATTTTCAGGTAGTTTTGTTCAGAAACATTTTCTGTAACATTCACAGCGGCGCTGTCAAAATTATGCCCTACGGTTTCCGTATTGCACGTTTATTTCACAGCTAGCAAGTAGTCACCTGAATCTTTGCTTCAGCATTAGCAACACATTGTAAAGGTACAGCAAATAGATTTTAGACTTCCGGGAAGTATACAAACGTCGGCTTCCTGAATTCCCCCAATTCCTGCTGGCTTGAGACCTCCTGTAATTCTGTCAATATTTATCTTCCTACCACCCACGTGCTGTCAACCTACTCTGTCAGAATAAACAGATAGAGTCCACAGTTCAGCCACCCAAAACAATACTTCCATACACGGAGGTAAATACACTGTCTGCAATAACCACCACAAAGATATGAGTGTGCAATGCCAATGATGTATTACACTGTCATATAGATACATGACACGTAGGGTTGTGGTAACCGAGTATGACACAAAATTTATGATGGTGTTTCTTCTAGCCTATATGGTACACCAATCTGTGGTATAATTGCTTTTTATCATTCATAAAGTAGCAAAGGTTATGACCTGCATGCCTGCTCAGTGGAAATGGCCTGACCTTTGCCCTACCGCAGTGACACTGTACACAGTTGTGCTTTCAAACTACAGCAGCTAAGTGGGCATGATCGGACATCTAAGGCACCTGTTTAGACACTGGCGCCTCGGTTACGCCAAGAATGCTGATAGATTTGCTCCAAAGCACGGGGATAGTAGTGGTTGATCAAAAGGGCCCGGATACCCCAGTAGTTGTATCATAACTGCCATGTTTCCATGTAGCGTTACTGTTTCTGAACAAAACTACCTGAAAATAAATTCCCTGCACATCCTGTCAAGGATATCTGTTATAGGAAAACGGCGCCTCTTTTAGCATACGCATCCGGATATCCAAGCTCTCAAATCATTTATGCCTACATGGCGATGTCGTTAATCACTCCAGGGTGTGCTAAAGCTTTATGACAATGTCACCATGTCTAGTATTGGTCACCACGAACGCAGCACACCTCACAAACATCTAAAGGAAAAGCTGGTAAACCAGAAAACTCGTAGTCTCTTTCTCATAGGACCACACTGGTTTGATTATGTTTATGGCATCCTCTGGGCACATCAAAACTGATGTGAGGGAGCGAGTTTTAGAAATGTTGCGCAAAACGTTTGCTCTTCTTATGAGATTGAATTTATCAGGAAGGTTTAACGAATGACTGAACACGCACGATATACCAAACAACAACTTTTTCAATTTTGTTGGTCCACATCTTCTTTGACTCTATTGGAAGACTCGGTGGTGCAAACAAAGGGTAATTCGAGCCCCCTGCTTCCGTTCCTCAGACAATGTCTTCTGTCCTTTCTGCCTCTATATCCTTCAAGTATCCAAAGTCAAACAAACAGTATGGTTACTTTTTTTTGTAAACGGACGACAATTGATGCACGCGCGGATGCCATCCATGTAATTAAGTCCTTGTAGCCTAAGCTAAGGTCGCAGATTCTTCTCCCGCCTATTGAAGTGAAAAAGCGTTCTTTCGCTTTTAATCGACGGCCTTTTAGGGAGTGCGAGTCACCGAGGAGCCGACGAGATGTAATGGGGGTGTAAGATCAGACGCCGGGTCAGCCTGGGCTGTACGCTCCGTCCTAGATAACACGGGCTGATTTAAGTCTCGACTAAAACCCCTCCTCGGCGTTTAGCTGCTGATATGCGGGATAGATTCTTGGGCACATCTCTGAGACAAACTCCTTTTACAGCCTGTAGGGAAGTTTCACCAGTGCTGTTTCATTTTCATATTCATCTTTTAATTTCCGGGACGAACCGCGGAAGAGGTTTCTTACTGTCAAACCAAGCCGGGGGCTATCTTTGCAGTCGTTCAGCAACAAAAGCAATCAACCACGGATGTTGGAAGTGCAAATATTGCCCTCAATCAGGTTTAGCTAAAGAGGGTATCTTTGCCAGAAAAGTCGCTAGCAATAGAAAACAATCTCAACCCAGGCCGCCATGATTGGACCCGCGATACTGGAACGGTTCAAGATACAAAATATGCACGTCAAATTCTGCGGAACGTAATATCACACAACAATTTAATAAAAAAAAAATAACATACTGACTCTTATCTACTGAGCCAGGTGCGAAGGGTAGTAATTAAAATGACAAGTTACGTCAGGCAGGAATGCACATACGAGACGTGGAATTTAATTCTATTAAATGTAGACCGGATACAATTGCAGCTATGCCAAAGTCGTCAGAATATGTCAGAGTACGACAAGCTCTCATGTAGTGATTGATGACAAGAAGGTCACCTTATCACTTATATGTCATATGTCTACTTCGGGATGTGTTATTCATTATTGCAAAAAGCATATTGCCAGCATTTAAACGTTCTGCGGCACGTTGACACCCTTTTTGCTACCTCCTTTGTTTGTATTTCACGTTGAAGTATTTGAGAAGGGCGTTCAAGGTGGTACGTGGCAGGGATTCTGATGTTTGTTACGAAACAGCTCATCATCCCTTTGAGAAAATCAGCATGAAAATGAACGCTCTGAAGCTCCATAAGCTACTGCCCTGGAGGTTTATCCTAGTGAGGCGGCTGTTTTGAGTTTGCCAAAAGTCAAATGTACAGGAAGCTCTGAGATAGCTGCAGAAATTGCAAACTTTGAGGTTCTCATCAAGCAGTTAGATAGTTTTATGAGATATGGGGGAAACTGTCCATCTGGAACAAAAAAGGGCAAATGGAATGGACGCGAGGTTAACCGAAAAGCAAATGTTCCCGGAGGTGAGACTACTTCTCTCTAATGAATCTGCCAACTCAGATTCTTTT